AACTTACACCTCAGCATCCATGACCTCCATAACAAAAAACAGTTAGAGACAAATAATGAGTTATAGTGAAGACTTCGTCCATATCCCTTTTTTTAATAGTGAAACTTACAGTTCTACTATGTAACTTTTCCACATTAAAATGTCTAAAAACAACTAGACCTATGTTCTAAATGTTGTTAAGTTGTGTCCTTACATTATCCCAAATGTTTCGCTCAATTCTCATACCTGAGAAATCTGTGATCTTAATCACGGTAACGATGCGTTTCATTGGTTGCCTGTCAATGACATCATATCCTCTATGATCAGCATTTGTGTCAGTGTTGTGTTTGTCTGACAGAAGCTCAGGTTTTCAACTATATATTATGTATGCATCTCCTCCTTGGTGTTTCCCAGTGGGGGAGATTAAGATGGATGAGGGTTAAGGTTAGGGCATTTGCCCAAAAATGTCCTGTCCTGACTTGAGTTTGGGTGATCTCAAATTTTCAACATGTCGTCAAGGTAACCAACATGGAGAAAAATAATAGCGTGCTGCAAAACGGGCTCTGACCACAGTTACTTCTGCATCTGTTTTAAATGTATGAAAATTCAGAGCAGACACAGCCACTGAAAACAGCCATAAACCGACTGATCCAATGAGGATGGACAAATGCCATCCCAGCAACATAACACAACATCAGCTCATTAATTCTTGTAGTATTGGTATTTCACAGCGCAGAAGAATATTTTAGATGCTTTAGATACAGCTCTACACATGACACAAACAACCTGAAATTCACTCACTCTCTGCTGCCATGGAGAAGTCTGACTGGTTTGGAGTGCATGAGCTAAAACAGTCTCACACTTAAACCCGGTCTGAAATCATGTTGATTCACAGGACACAGGATAGTACCTACTGACCAGTTCAGCTGCTAACAGCCCGCTCTCCCTGTGTGTGTGTGTCAGGTCAGTCAGAGACTGATGACCTTCTCATGAAAACTAATAACACACGCCATGCCAACACATGCCATCAGATCAATTGGCAGTTGGCAGATCTACAAGTGAAGCTGATTACAGTGCAAGTGATGTGACAGCCCCCCCGGCCACAGCACCAGTTCCCTGTCTGTCTGGTTGCTGAGACCTGGGGAGCCGCTCATTAGGAGTGATGGCCGACACCTGAGCAGGTGGCTGCTCACCTACTTATATCCTGTCCAGCAGCAGGAGCTGCTTTCACAAAGACAGAGTCTGACTGTGGCTCAGATAGAACAAACAGTCAGGCTTCAGATAGACTCAGTCTAAATTCATCTGCTGCACAAAGCACTTTAGTTCTCGACTATCTTAAGCCGGACTGTGGTACAATGAATTCTGGGTAAAATAAGACCTTTTTTCAAAAAAAAAAAAAAAAAAAAAAAAAAAAAAAAAGGCCAACCGAGGAAACGTATCCAACCACTAAGCTCTGCTAACCCCAGCAGAAAATGAGAAGAATGGTGGTGTAAGTGAAACAATAAAAAGAAATATCTGACTTGGAAATAAATCTCTGTAGTGTCTAAAAATTTTCTTTGCTCTCTCCATTACAATGTTTGCAAACCACAAATTATGAGCCATGTCTTCTTGTTTTTTGTTGTTGGGTACTACTGGCCAGTGCGCGTGTCATTGATTCTTACCATGGTTACACTGGTCTCAGGCCTGAGATAGCCCGGGGGTAAGGTGTCTAATGTTTTTAACTTTAAAGTAACGATGCTGCGATCATGTTTTTTTTTGCCACTGATACGACCATCTATGAGTGAGATCAGCTGATCCACGGTTGATATACCGATCATTTTGGCATGCCATTGCAGATTGTATACGTTATATCAGTCTCAGACAAGGTGGGAGGCGGGACTACACTACACAGCACACAGTACTGCTCTCAGCCGTAGACACCATTGTATTAACCACAGGTGACTGGTTTTAAGGTGATCGGAGACTAGAAGCATTAATTCCCCTCTAATTTTTCATGAAAATCGGCTGATCAATCGGGGTATCCCTACTTAAAATGAGTCAGTCTTTATTTCTATGAAACAGTCACATCAGACTGATCTATGAGCAAAATGAAAAGTGGACCAACACCACAGAGCAGTCTGAGATATCTGTGTGAAACCGGCCCCTGGTTTGACTGAACTTTGGCCTTATGCCTGAACATGTTCACACATCCACACACATATCACTGATGAACTGGTTGCACACTTAACTTAGCTTTCTTAAATGAATGTATTTTACTTTGAAGAGTCTTGTGTGGTCTCTACAGTCTGTCCGTCCTCTGAGCCGGGTGGCGACAGTGTCTGTATGAGAGGTTGCATGAGCTGCAGGTTCCACTTGTTTGGTTGCATCTGATCCGCTGGTAAAAACATTGTTTTGTGACAGACTGATTTACAATCACAGGTTTAAATTCTGTCATGACTGAAAACAGGCCCTTTAAGTGGTGAAACTACAGAATAAGATGACAGGAAGGATACCAGGAAAAACATATTGTGCTGGTCACACTGTTGTGTATCACTCTGAGAGTACAGTACAGCACAGAGGCACGAAGAGGCTTGTAATTACATGATGAAAAATAACTGGTTTAAGACGTTTTAAGACTCTGTGAGGCCTTAAATTTTGGTCATACTGTGACTGCTGTTGTGTATTTTTACAAAGACACATAATTAAGCAATAATGCAGGATGAGGTAGCTCCGTATAAAAAATAATGAAGTAGCTGAAGGTAAAAATCTGCACACGCCAATGTTTACAGCAGTAGGGAGTGGTGTTCTCTCTGCTTCCTCCAGCTGAACTCCTGAGAGTAACATCACACTTCACTGTTTCCCATACAGTCATTTATTTATGGCCGCCCGCTCGGCGTGTGACAGCGTGCTGCGTTTGTGTGTGTCAGGACTGAGCTCAATCACAATAGCCCCCACCACCCAGACCTGGTCAGGGCTGTTACAAGGTGAAGCTCTGGAGCCGTGTATTGTTCAGTTAGTTATTTATCACAAAGTTGTCAGCAGTTACAATATTTGAAGTGGGGCATATTTTAATAATTAAATAATTAACCCAGATACAGCCACAAACAGAATCTAATTCTGTGAGAAACGCTGCACTGACACCAGCACAGACATCTGAATCAAACTGAAAACACTGAGGACGACTTCAGACAAATACTGTTCATATTCATACACTGAAGGCAACTGTCCTGCTGCTTCTTACACTAGGATCATTACAAGCAAAACATCCCATAATACTGCATTTTATATTTGTTTTAGCCACATTTCACATCCTCTATGATCATGTGTCAGTGTGTTTGTCTGACAGAAGCTCAACATCGACTTTTATCTAGTTTAAAGCCACATACACTTTTGACACCTTGGTGGTTTTCAGCTCTATATTTGAACCAGATGAAGGATTTTAGTCGTCGGACGTCTGGATCTGAAGTTATCAGAGAAACAAGCTGAGGAAATGTTAGACAGCTCAGCTCCCAGCTGCTGGAGACGTCCTGTCCTGTGTCACTGAAGAGCGTCGCTGAATCTCTGAGTCTTAAAGTCAAACTGCTTTATTCAGTGTTTCTACTGGTTCTAATCCCCTGGTGTGTTTGTTATGGAGAGGAGGACACCTCTGTGGAGAATTCAGCTGCTGGTAAAAACCGGGGGTTCATTGATGTAGTGACTTGATGTGACAACAAATACGTGTGAACGTCAACACATTTGCATTTATTTTTTCTCAGTGACATATTGTTGTTGTAACGCAATGTAACGTCACGCGTCTCCCTTTTTCTGTATTTGTGCGTTGGCAGAATGAAACATTACAGGGGAGCGCGTAGAGTAGTTAATAGTTAATCGAATGGGATCTTCTGACGGATTTAAAAACAAACATATACAATGTCAAAACGAGTCGGGAAATACACTTGGGTGGCCAATAATATACCTGGGTGGCTCGCCCAAGTAAAATCCATGTGGGAAAACCTGACTGCTATCTGTAGACACCTCGTAGAGTGAGGTGTTTCCCAACACGTTTGCTTAATTGTTTATTTTTTAATAAAATGTTCAGGTGATAGACCCACCTCACAATCCAGTGCTTCGCCTGTATCTTTAACTCACTATAGTTCTGACAGTTGTCATCTCAGATTAACTTCATGGTGGAGAATAACTTTCCTTCTGTGTTGGCTCAGTGAGCAGGACAGACGATCTGCTGAGGTTAAATCAGCAGAATCATTGTCCCAGACTCATCAATAAAACTAACAGTTTTTAACAAGTTCTCATCTCCAAACATCACAGCATATGAATACAACACTCTGTGGTAACTGGATAGTGAAGCTCTGTCATTACACCTTCATGTCAGCATGTGACTGCACTATGAAGAGAACATGCTGCCATTATAACACTATGAAAGTTTAACCAACACCAGTGCAGACGTGTGTTTCATCATGATGCATTCATTATTCTGAGTAAGTTTCAAGTCCTTGTCAACTGATCTGAAAGCAACTTTTAACAATTCAAGACCAACTGGCGCCTGGAAGGCAGCAACAAACCAGTGGATGGACTGGGAAATGGTTGTCAGTAATGTCAGTTGTGAGCACATATTATCGTAGTGGGATGACTATGCAAGATAAGTGGTCCTTTAAGTTAGACGGCTGGGCCCCTCAGGGCAGGGGTGTGGGGGACCAGGGGAAACTATGGAGTGAATCTAAGTTGGATAAATATGATTTGTCTTTCAACTGTGTTTGCTGGTGCTATCATGCTGGCCTTTATTTCACTAAAATTCTGCTTTTTTTTAGGTTGCTTCCTGGATCATTGTTCATGATTGATAAAATGTAAAAATTGTGGGGAGGGGTGGTGTATACATCTGAAGGGGGGCATGCCAGAAAAGGTTTTAAAACCACTGCTTTAAGCTCTTAAAGGATCATCCAAATTTGGTTCACATACACAATGCTTGTTCATTCCAACTTCCCAGTGTCTCCAGCCACAACACTCTAATAATAGAACAGACTTATTGTATATAAAATCTGTAATACCTTCAATAGATGGAGCCTGGTCCTGAGCAGCGTACAGCATCTCTTTGAAAGCCTGCAGGAGAGAGACATGATCACATTATTAAATATTAAACACTTGCATTCATTATTTCATCTCTTGAAACATATAAAAGGTTTAAAAGGCAAGTGCTATATGATGCCAAATACCACCATATACTTATATACACTTATAGATCCCACTGGATAAATGTGTTGTCACCACAAACAATGAAGTGTGAAGCTCAGATTACGTTTGTTCTCATACTCAGCTTCTGAATGAGTTACAGTCATTTTGGAGGCTGCAGTTTGTGTGGGGGTGGACGAAATATGGACAAAAATCTGTCAACATAACACAATACACTTCAACAAAACCACAAACTGTTGAATAAACACAGATTCAATAAAAACTTGACATTACAACCCTCATGACAGAGGATTTATTACAGGACTGTGTTAGACAACATCAGTTTTTGCGAGGTGTTCCTAATAAACTGCCAACTGAGTGTACACCATTATGTTATACAAGTCCCATACTCTAGGTTTGGGGCAACATTCAATAATATGACATACTCGATATTCAATAATATCAAATATCTCGATGTGTCTTGCCATACGTGATATTTTTCATATTGTCAAAAAAATATTTATATATTTTTACTTTTGTAGTTGTGCACAGTCTCCTTTGTTTACTGTACATTGTAGTTTGGCATGTGACAAACAAAACTTTGAACTGCTGTTTACAACAATACAAGTGCACTGGAGGAAATAGAGTATTTGCAGTTGACATATTCCAGTTGAAATTCTTAAAGAATCAATCAATAAATCTAAAAAAATTAAAAAAAATTGTCATTTAGTAAAAATGTTGTAGATGCGGTGTTTAACTAATGAAACAATAATAAATAAAGTTCCACAACAGGTATATCTAATTTTTATGCCTCTGCGCCGGCAACAGTAGATTTTGGTGGTCAAAGGTCAAGGTCGTGTTGACATCACAAAACACTTTTTAGCCATCACTCATGACTTGACACAACAGTTATGACAAGATTTCACACAAATGATTCATAATGTATATGAAACTAAGTCTAATTAAGTCATTCACAACATCAACTAATGCATTAAGTAACACACTAGAAAACATTCCACCTTAAAAGTTGCCGTTACTTGTCGGCAGCACAGTGAACTTAATCAATTACTCTACCAGACTACTGTCAACTGGTAAAGACGGAAAGGCAGCAAATCATCATTTATTCATTCATCATCAATTCATCATTCACTCTTCTGATGTTTCTTTATTTGTGATGCATTTGCAGAGAAACTGTTAAACTTGAACAGTTTGTGCAGCTGGAATGAAAGATGAACTTTTCATGAAGTCAGTTTAACACTTGATCTGTTATAGTTGACTAATGTGTGCAAACTTGTTACATAAGCCCCCCCCCCCTTTCAGAAATGATGTGATGCAACCATGTCAATATGGACCAGTATCTCCTCTACCTATTATTAGTCTGGTGTTCCTGATGAAGTACATGGTGAGTGTTGCATTGGGGAGGTCTCTGCTGTAAACTTAAAATTACTTTCTATGTTGCACCTGTTGGGTTAATGTGCTGAGAACACTTCAGCTCATTTTCTAATACAGATACTTAAGCCTGCAGCCTCATACCTACAACCGAATCACAGCTGTGCTGATATTCAGGGCAACATCAATCACTCTGTGATATTGTTTCTATACAACCGTTCTAGGAGTGCCATATGAGTTAACAGTAAAAAGCAACAACAGATTATGATTTTTCTGTTTGTTTCATCATTTATTTGGCAAGGCCAACACAAACAGTTGACTACACTGGACTGTTGTCAAGCAACACAAACATTTTCCAAACCTGCGCACTAGCTTGCTACTGTATTTGTATCATTCTGCCTCTCATGCTCTCCTTGTAATAATGCAGAGCTGTTGATGCAGCCACTCAGTCTCCGTCATGCTGTGTTAGTGTATCTGCACTGTATACTGCAGCTCGTCTTTGCTGTGGAGAGGGCGGCTACACCACAGTCATTCAGTCTCAGTGAGTGCCAGCAAGACAGGAAGACAGTCGCCCTTTTTCATCTGCTCTGGCTCGAGGCTTAGACAGTAGAGTGGTCAGTCAGTGTTTCAGACCACAATGGCCTCACTGTGCCAGTCAGTCAAAGAGCGGCAGAGTGGGGCACACTGGCTTCTGCAGCAAACAGCCGAGCGAGTCAAGGTCATGATGTAGTCCACACAGCCCACACATTCTCACTGCTTCACCAGCGTAACCACTCAGATGTAAACTACAACAATAAACCACATACAACAAACACAGGGTTAAAAACAGCAATGAAGAACAAAGAAATGACTTTCTAAATACACTTTTAAAGTTGCATTGAATTAGTTTGAACTCCTAGATAAACACAATTACAATTAGCCATGAATTGAAGAGAACAGAGGCCTGTACAATGCAGCAGGTAGCTTATTCTCTTATATTTACTGGGGTAAATCTCCATGGTAACTTATGCTGCACACCTAACCTGCTGCAGAACAGATCAACATCTATAAAAGCTCCCCAACCCTTCAATTCATATTTTCCTGTTGGCTGCAACAAGCCTTTTCATTGTGATTTTGTATGATATCATCCTCCACCAGGGACTGACTGCAGCCCTGAAGCCTTGTACTTGTTGCTCTTAGAAGATAAAAGTAACTTGACTCACCGCTTTGAATTATGTTTTAATATTTATTGTTTGACCACACTGGACTGCAGATGAAAGAATCAGGCTAAAAGAATACATCTGAGCAGCACATTCATTTCACTGAGTACACACATGTGATTATAGTCAAATCTACTCATGCTCTAATGATGGGCAGTGATATTAAGTTACACATTCTCACAGCTGGTGATTTTTTGGCAGCTTCAACTGTTGCTTTCAGCCTGAATCATGTGTTTAACTTCTTTGTATTTGTCTATATTACTTTTTAAAATATGCTGCTCTGCTGCCAGTAGATTTGTCCATGTCTATAATTGGTCAAATGCTGCAAATCCCACCTCAAAAAAAACCTGGGATGACTCACTGAGTTGATGACCACTGTTCACCATTGTGTGACTGCTTAGCCTGGCTGTGGTTGTTCGGCTCAGTGATGCCAGACAACAGAAAAATATCGTGGGTGTAAAGGTAGAGATGCACCTATCAATTGGCTGGTGATCAAAAAGGGACGATTATCAGTATAATGACATTCGATTGATGATTGGCTGATCAGTCTAGCATTGAATTGTCCGTTAAAGAAAAGTTAAACTAGAATCCCCTCCTGGTGGTCGTCTGCCTCCTCCACTCAGACTAGTTTCAGGTTACATCCCTGTTTATCCAGAGTCAGAGAAAATATGAACCAATATGACATTTTGTCATAACTGCTTTGAAGTCTTGAGTAATGGCTAAACAATGTTTTGTGAGGTCACACTGACCTTGACCTTTGACCACCAGAATCTAATCAGTTCATCCTTAAGTCCTAGTGAACGTTTGTACCAACTTTGAAGAAGTTCCATCAAGTGTTACTAAGATATTGTGTCTACGAGATTGGGATGGACGAACGGACAAACTGAGAACAATATGCCTCCGGCTCTGACTGTTGCCAGCGCAGAGGAATAAAAATGTTTGTCTGTCTGTCGTTAATAGTTCTTAGAAAGAAAATCGTGATTTGCAGTTCAGACCTTTAAAAACATCAGAAACCGGAATCGGCCAACAAAACTGCAACTGGTGCATCTCTATCTTTTACCCAACTCAGAGAAAGTCCTGCAGATACAACACAATGTACCACAGGGTTGTGGACTAGATAAAATCATTGTGTTGTCATTGATTGGCTATAAAAACAGAGTTATAATCTGTGTGCCACTGTAACCTGAGAGATGCAGAGTTTTCAAACACTGTGAGGAGTTGAGTCGACTGCTGTGAGCTCCGTTTAGTTCAAACAGCATTCCCATCAGCTCCGCTGCCCTCACTGTGTTTTCCTTCACCACCAAGAGAAACAGCTTCTTTTCATGCAAACACAACACACACATGAACAGGGCAGAAACTAAATCCAGTGTTTCTGACTGACACAATTCTCCACCAGGGACCTGTGTTCAGACACATTTTCTAACCTGCTGTGTGGGAATCACTGATGCTATAAATCACATTGTTAATAACTGCATTAATACCATCACTTTCATTGTCATTTATCTAAATAGACAGGTGCAGACTTAACTGCAACTTGCTACTGACAAAGTCTTAAGAAGCTATGTGAAACTGAGAGATCATAGTTAAACACTGCTGTTGATTTCACTTGATGAGCGTCACTTACTAATTTACCAGCTATGGCTAATTACTGTTCTTCCATCAGTTGGCCAAACTGGCTGTTGTCTGGTTGACATGTTGGATGTCAGTGCGGTGGTTTTCTGCCATAAGCATCATAATGGAAGTTTTATCCAGTTTTACAGGAGACTTTTAGATCTTGGTCATTTTAAACTATATTTTAATTGGATCAAGGATTTTGGTCATCAGACGTCTGGACGTCAGCAGCTCAGCTCTGACATGAAAATGCTTTATTCCGTGTTTCTACTGGTGATAATCAGCTGGTCTGTTTGTTGAGGAGAGGAGGACACCTCTGTGGATAAATTCAGCTCCAGGTTAAAACCCCCTGAACCACTGACACTGAAGGAATCCAAACCAGAAGAAGCTGTCAGCAATGGTGCTGGAGACAACAACTCCCATGATCCCATACTTCTTCACAACATCACCCAACTCTGTCTGTTGCTATTGTTTTGAGGTAGAGACCTCTGGGAGTAGGAGTTACATATTGTGCTTAAGCAGCATCACTATCACCACATGTGGATACAGGAATGTGTCGTTGTTATCGATAAATAAAAACACTTCCAAGTCCAGTTTACCACTATTGTAATATATTTATAAATGAGCTCGTTAGGTCATATTAGTTTATGGAAAACCAGATACAAATAAGACTGTCTCCAAGTTTACTTTTCTCCACCACTAATCTGACTGTGATTTTATTTGGTATGATTA